GTGAGGTGAGCCAATGAAGGTTCATGCTACGTTATATTCGTGTATATCCGAGCTGATACTGGCCACAGGTGCAAGGTGGAATTTAAAGTCCGGTAAGAGGTCACTTGACTGGACCATAGAATTCTAAGAACAGTTTGGCCTGCTCAGGGAGGAGAAAGGAACTGCAAATTTAGCGGTGCCTTTCAAAAACTTCAGATTAGCATGACCATATTTGCTTTCTGGAGATCATCATTCACCCCGATTGTTTAAAAATTGTTTACTAATGTTAAATCCCTCCATGTGAATGTTTGCAAAAAAAAACCCTATATTTATCACTTCAGACTTTGGTAGTTGTTTAAAGATATAATTTAGCCATTTTCTCTAGCCTGATGGGATGACCCAACAGGCTTCATGTACTTGTGGTTGTAGTAACTCGTTTATTGGAAGTCGCAGGCTCGGCTCCCTGTCCAGTCAGTTATTCGGGCTGCCTGCTGCTGCTGTCCGCAATAGAAGAGTTGGGCTTAAACGGTGGCTCACCACACACTGGTGGGGAGTAGCTGCATGCTTAAATGTTTAGGGCTTAAAAAATTGACACTGCTTTAGTCGCCAAATGAACCTGTGGATTTCACAACTTTCCAACTTTATCTGTTGCCAATTCAAAGTGTGTTTAATAGTTGACAGTGGTTGGCCTGCGAGAAATCATTGGCTGTTGGGACAACTTTCTGTAAAATCCTGGTTTTGTTAGATATTAAACAATCATCAGCTCTTAACATTTATCAACTAGATTGACATTTTTCACATCCTAATTGCAATCCAAATTATTTATTAACTGCTTGCAAATATATATTTTTTATGAATCAGTCATGTCTTAAAAAGCATTAGATGTACGATACTTCATATTTTACAGGTGATTGGCTATAAGAGTGTTGTGTTCCTTATGGCAGTTGTAGAAATCGAAATGCAGTGTATGAATAGAAACCACCAAATGCTTGATGCTTTAGGGTATTTATAGCTGAAATGTTTTGCACATTGTGCCCACTGCTGCTAAAGTGGCTTGAGTTTGTTGCTTTTCGCACTGAAGAGAAATACACCTGTACCGTTGCTATTAGTGATTTGCATTTACAGGTGGCATTACGTGTGATGCATTAAATCTTGGGCACTACAACTAAAGTGTGGTACTTTGAGTTGCAGAAATATTTATTTTATTATGGCCATTCCATTGCATATGCTAATTTTGAAATAGTTTAAAACGTGCAGAGTACTGGGATACAGTTGACTATTGCGTGCAATTGGCTTTCTAAAAAAAAATATTCCAGCATTAACGTCTTAGTCGTGTTGTAATGTGTTCTTTACAATGCACAGTTGCATCCATGAACAGAGGGATAGGTCTAGCACACTCCGTTGTGCTATACAGCAGGTGTGCAAAGGTTGCAAAGTGCAGGAGTGTAAATGGGGAAATTGGACAGAATGGTGCATCCACTTGTCCTTTTTCTGCTGGCACATCTGAGCCGAGCTGGGCCGAGCCAGGCATCGCGGGTCATTGTTCCCACTTCAGAAGCCGAGCTGTGCCACTCGCATCACAATGTGTGACGCAGTGACTACATACCGGAACGTCATTGTCGTGGGTTCGATTGAGGTGCACACAACTTGGAGGCAACACTATTAACGCATAACCAACGGGAACGTTATAGATAGGGTGATGACCACCGTTCCTAATCTCACTAACACTCGCGGAGGGAATACTACATAACGTGACCAGGGCAGGTTAACGGGCTGCCTGGTCACGAAGGTCGGAGCCTGGAGGAGCGTTGATGGCATCTTCATCCCGGGGTCGAACAGCCCCTCTTCTGTTCACACCCCGCTTATAACTCCTGTGGCATGGCCGGCTCTGCCCCAGGCCACGGCCCCCTTCTCGATCCTTCGGGAAGGTCCGGGCCCCCAACTACGTGACCCCCCCAAGCTCCCCCCTGGGGCCCTCGCCCCCCTTTATCCAGACACGTGTCCTGTTGGGATCACGCAGTGTGTCACGGCCTGACACGACCCCCATGACACCTGCCCACAGTGCCCATATCAAGCTAACAGTGACGTCATATGTCCCTACGCTCGTACAGTAGTGCCGTATGTCACTCCGTACTTACCGACTGATGCCATATGCATTGAATGCATCATTAACCCTGGCCCTGCTTGGCAATCAGGAAGATCTGATGTTTTGTGAGGCTAGTATTACTATGGTTTGGTTCCGGCAAATTGCCAGCGGGGAAACCACCCGTAACGTGACAGCCCTGTGCTGGCTCAAGATGTGCCTGTGGGTAATGGAGTATTGGGGAACAGACGGGGAGTTTAACGGCGCCACTGAACTGGGCCTCCCTGGAGCCCGGCATGACGTGGCTGGAGCACGGCCTCCCAACAAAGCATGAAGCAGCGCAGAGCCATTGGACTGCCACACCCTCCCGTGGTGGCTTGTCGGGAAAATGCGCAGTCCACCTCTTCAGCTCTGTATGCTTAATTGCCGTTAGTGAATGAGCATGGTACATTTTTTTTGCTGTGTTTTAAACAGCATGGCATCTGACCCTGTATCTCACTTGGCAACGTGTCGTTTCACTGGTGTGTGTGCTATTGCTATGCCAGGTAAAACAAAAACTGAAGTAAAAAAAAATAAAGTATTAAAAACACTCGGTGTGGTTGGTTGATTTATCATTACTTTATTGTCAATGGTTTCTCAAAATAAAACTTCACATCATGCTTTGAGAGACTAGATGGGTTAAGTAATTCAAAGATGAAATTACAGTACTTTTAATAAGTGGCTGTAGATGTGCAATCTATCACTGCTCAAAATGTAGGGACAAGTACCAAATGTTAAATTATATAAAGCTGGGGAATTGATTTTTCTAACTTCATAATCGGCAAGCTGTAGCTTTGAGGCAACAACTGGCAAGCTTGCTGTTTGGCATAAAACCCCATTGTAACTTTATGTACATGTTTTCATCACCAATGTCTGAAAAAAAATATCTACATAAGTACAAAAATTCAGTTGTCCAAATTTAATTATCTCTTTACATAACCGTTTTTGTAGGGACACTATATAATACTCTGGTTCTTTCGGTAAAGTCACGGTAGAAAAATAAAATAAAACAAAATAATATATTCTTGGTTATTTCAGTAAAGTCACGTAGAAGGGAAATAATACAAAAATAATAAAATTCTCACGACGTTTCTGTTTTTATTTGTATTATTTTATTTATCTTCTACGTGACTTTACCGAAAGAATCAAGAATATGAATCCCTGCAGTCACGAAAGCTTTAAATCGAAAAAAATAATATATCACGAAAAAATAATCCAGGGTTCAGCAGTTCCAGGTCAACTGCTTGTGATATATTTTATTTTTCTACCTACCTATGTGACTTCACCAAAAGAACAAAAAAGAGTGGATTCCTGCAATCACCAAAGCTTCAAATCAAGACTATTTAATGTTGTCAAATTAAGTAACAATACAATAAATGGGTGAGAGCAGATGGTGACTGCGCCTATTCTGAAAGTCACTTAACCAATAGTTCTAGTTCAGCTTAGCTCAGCTCCAGTGTCACAGCTAACAACTCGCATCAGACAAACACATTGAAGACATACACCATCACCTCGCATCAGATAAACACATTGAAGACATACACCATCACCTCGCATCAGACAAACACATTGAAGACATACACCATCACCTCGCATCAGACAAACACATTGAAGACATACACCATCACCTCGCATCAGACAAACACATTGAAGACATACACCATCACCTCGCATCAGACAAACACATTGAAGACATACACCATCACATCGCATCAGACAAACACATTGAAGACATACACCATCACCTCGCATCAGACAAACACATTGAAGACACACACCATCACCTCGCATCAGACAAACACATTGAAGACATACACCATCACCTCGCATCAGACAAACACATTGAAGACATACACCATCACCTCGCATCAGACAAACACATTGAAGACATACACCATCACCTCGCATCAGACAAACACATTGAAGACATACACCATCACCTCGCATCAGACAAACACATTGAAGACATACACCATCACATCGCATCAGACAAACACATTGAAGACATACACCATCACCTCGCATCAGACAAACACATTGAAGACGTACACCATCACCTCGCATCAGACAAATACATTTAAGACATACACCATCACCTCGCATCAGACAAACACATTGAAGGACACCATCACCTTGCTCCACCACCCTGCTAAGGTGCCTAACGTTTGGAGCGAGAGCAACACGACACCAGTAATTACACTTAATTTTTCATATGAAAATAGACTGCTATGGTTTTAAAAATGTACAGTTATTTAATTTACATAGTTGTGTAGTTTCTGCATAACGAACCATGTGTTGTTCTGGTCTCTGCTACTGCATTGCACCTTGGAAAAAAAGTACAATTTTGGTTTTTGCTCCAAACACCATAACAAAGCACAAGCTGCACAACCGTCTAGCGTGTTAGAGTTCCTGCTTCTGTACAAGGGCAGAATGTGACGTCTGGGGTATGTAGTTGCTGTTGTCTTTTATACAGAAATATTTAGACAAAAAGTTCCAGGAACAAAAATGTGTTTTAAGATTAAATAATCCTATGTAGCACTATAATTCAAGTATATATTGCCAGTCAGTATATTTGTTTTATGCAAAATGCCTTAGTGGGCAACTTCATATTTAAGCCACTGCAAAGGCGGGTAAGAATGATGAAGTTGATCAATTTAGCACAAATGCGAAGTTTGATTTTCTTCATTGTAAATGAGGCAAATTTAAAAGTCCTTCGAAGATAAATGTTCATATGTATATAAACAAAATACTACAGATTTTTGTTTTCTGTGAAGCCTTGATATAACAATGCCCATTCACATCTATGAGTATGAATATCTAACACAGTTTTCCTGGACAAGAGGAAGCATCTAAGGAATGGCAAGCTAATGAAAATCAGCAAATCCCAAAAAAACATTACTGCATACTCTTAATTTTTATTTTACATATCTCTCTTTCAAGATGGTGCAAATGAGAATATTAAATGCACTAATTGCAAAAAACCCGACGAATATCTGTGCACAATTTTCCAGTTAATGACAAAAAAGCTCGAGTGCAAACAGAATTTCCAGCTTCCTACTTAACTGCCTACGAGGAACGGATTCAAAACAATCCACATGTAGCCTATATCCCAGTTATCGTGGCATGATCCTCACATATATCATGAACAATGCTAAAGGTCATTCCTAAACAGGTGGGGGTTCTCGCAGGTCACATTCCCCACCAGCTTGACCAATTCAACGAAGGGCAACGACTGGCAGCACCACGGTTGGAGAAGGGGGCAACGATGGGGTCACGTGTATTCCATCTTGGCGATGTAGGTGGCCGGTACGTAACCCTGCCGGCCCTCGCTCTCCACCAGCCACCAGTCCTGGTTCCCAGCGGCGTCACGGAACTGCACGATGCGCACTCGCTGCCTGGTTCGCAGAGACATCTCTTCCGCTCCGCGCGCTTCGAACGCGTACACGGCGTAATAGACCTGCGGGAGAGCGCGGTCCGTCACATACGCCGCAGTCAGTCACGTGCCACAAAAGAACTTCCCTATAGCTTTCCAGGTTGGCTGGAGGGGGCTGAAGCTCCTGCTGCTAAAGGCCCAGCCCCACTTCTAAATTATTAGTGATTTCACCTTTTCACAGCCATGTGTTTTTCAACTTTATGGCATCTTACAGCCAAATACTTTTAAAATGTATTCTGTAAACTTGGGTCGGTTTGACCCTGATCCTCGTGCAATATTTATTTTCCAGATATTGCCACGAGATGGCAGCATATGTATCGCGTGTGTTTGTGTGGCCCACAAAACCAACAGTGACGTGAAATATCAGGACCGACTACAAGAGGGCATCGCCGCAACGGCTGTGAAATAATATGACAAAAATAAGAATAGGTTTTACCCTTTCTGCCAATAAAACAGGTATTAAGATGTTCAAACCGAATCTTATTTTTTCATATACTTTGATACTCCAAAAAAGAGTCCCATTTTGTGGTTGTGAAAGCGTTAACCGATGGGAATCGCAGCTTTTCCTCGCATACACGGAGAGCGCGAGCAGAATTGCATGACAGACAAAAGCAGTGCCGAACATTTGTTTAAAACATTGACTGTGGCATGCACCCCCCCCCCCCTCCCCGAGTTTTGTGTGCCCCCACCCCCATTTAAATAATGTGACGCTGCCAGAGGGGTGACCGTGCAGCCCCTCGCCCATGCATGTACATGTTGCGCAAACACAAGCATGCAGCAATGCAAAGTAGTTATCGGAAAGAGTGAACAAAATTCACCAGGGGATGCATCAAATAGGATACATATGAAAAGCACTTAACATAATGCCAGATTGTCAACGAAATGACAGGCAACCAATTTTCACGGATTCAGTGTCGCAGGCAGCTAAATCGTCTGCCCAGATGGGTTAAATTCCATTCAATATGTGCGCCAGGTTTTAATTTTATATTTCCATGGCACTTTCCATATATAGGATTTCTCTGCCATCATGCAGACTGCCTGTGTAGCGTTACATGTACTGGTGGCGTCTTGGTGGGAAAAAGCTCATCGCACCCAGCCTTCAAGCCCATAGCAGTTAAACACCTTTGCATTAATACAAAATACAATGTTAGGGTCAGCACAGTATTTTACTATCATGGTGAGAGTAAGGAAATAATTTGCTGTTAGGAGAATGAAGCCACATCAACTTATATTCTTCACACATTAAATATTAATTCATAAAGGATGTTCTGTTAGTACAACCAAGGCACGTCAATGTGCAAGTCTCTTTCAGTGTGCCATGTAGCAACAGAGCCGTTATTACAGACTTGTCCCAAGCACCTCGGAAGGTGACAGTTCCTCAGGCCAGATAGCAAAACGTTGGTGGAAGTTTTATTTTTTTTATACATTTATATAGGTACACAAGTCTCAGTCACTTTATTCATCTTGTGCTCCACCAATAAGGACAAGCGGGCATAAAGGTCGGTGCTAAGGCAACTGGAGACAAACTCACATCTTTTCCTTTCCTCCTCACACCAGGTTTAGTCCTGGGTGCGTGGCGAGCAGCCTGGACCGGGATAACGCGACACGAAAAATAACACCGATGTGCATCAACCACTCCACATTCACACGCGGCGGGCATCCGAGCGTTCGACCAAACCCACCGCTCCGCGGATTACACGTGCTAATTGTCGCAGAACTCTCCGCGTAAAAACAAACAAAACCGCAATTAGTCAATACACTTAGAGCGCCATTGTGGAACGTTTTACGCGTGCCAAATTGGCGACAGAGCCATCCCAACTGGGATCTTTACCTGTTGGCCTTCCTTGTGGGTGGAGCAGTCCCACCGTTCGTCCTGCAGACTCTGGGAACGGATGGGAATTGTCGCCTCCTCCGCACCGGCGCCGTGCCCTATCCTCGTCACGTCCAGCGACGTCTGCCGCTCAGACCAGCCGGACACGGACTTCCTCCTGGCTTGCAGCGTAGCGTCCTGGTCGACGGTCGCCCAGCTGCTCTCCCCACTTGGCCTGGGCCCCCCGTGCGAGCTGCTGCCCTGGCCGCCTCCATGTCTGCACGGGCCCTGGCGAGGGGGTGTGCCCTCACATTGGCTGTCCAGTGTGACCATGGTGTCGGCAAAATGGGGCGGCTGGGACATCGTACGATCTTCTTCCAGGGAGACCAGCCGCTCCACCGTGCGACTGGTAGCGCAGTCCGTGCTTGCAGCTTGATGGCTCGTGCCGCCTTGGTTTCTAATGCTGCCTCGGCCACTGCCATTCCTCTGCAGCGACGTGCTGTCTGCAGTCTGATCGCCACTCGCTACGTGGCTCTGCAGTGGATAAACACAGCACAATCAACAGTAACACTGCCTTATCATTAGACATTACATTACGCTTGCCAACACAGTGATCTAACGACCTTGTCATTAGGCCGATCATGGGAGATGGATAACAGAACGTGAAAAAGGCTAAAGTGCAGACCTGCAATTACTTGCTCATGCCATTGGTAATGGGAGGACCATCACTCAAGGGAGCTCTAGAGAGGCTGTTTAGAGGACATTTGGCCTACTCTTCCATCCTGACCAACGAGTACCCACACTTCACCCCATAACACGCAACACTCCAAAAGACTAACTGTGGTGTACACATTTATACTGCTGGGTGAACAATATACGGGGTGGCCCAAAACTTAGGACAAATAGGGTTATTTAATTTATTTTAACACTGACATTAAAACATTTCTATTGTTTATTCTTTAAGTTAATATTACCATTATTGCCATCTATTTTTATTCTTCCTGTGGGGTCACCTCAAATCCGTCATTTACAAAACTCGATCAAGAACCACGAATGAATTGAGACAAAACATAATTGACGAATCTTCAACCTGTAATCTTTAAAGTCCTAAATTAATTTAAAACGAGAATTAATGTTTTCATGAATGTTAATGGAATTAATGTGAAATATTTGTGAAAATAAATGAAATAACCCGACGTGATTTGTTAAAATAAATATAACTCTGTGTCCTGACTTGGGGGCCCACCTGTATAATGGTAACACTTTGGTAATAATGCTTCTTCAGAGCCATATCTTGTAGGCCGAGAAAGATCACAACACAAAATCACTTCTGGGGTCACTTCAACAGGGTCGCCTCTCGCCCGGCACCACCAAAGAACCCCTTCGCATTTTCAAACGGGTAAGAGTCTCCTTTGCACGTCTATCGCCCACGCACACCTGAGGTTTTTTGAGGAAGGTTGCGCTCATGCGAGCTGTGCCGACGCTCAGCTGGCAGGAGGTGTCGCTGTTCTGTCGGCTTAGGAGCGGCGAGGCGTGCTCCGGGGGCTGGCCACTCCACGCCGAGGAGCCGCTACTCTGGGTGGAAGAGCTGCTGTTCTGCCTGCACCCAACGGCGGCACCGGTTTGGATAATTACATTCGGAATCGGACTCGTTATTTATACTGAAAGGAATCCTTTTTGTTGTCGAGCTCTTTTTCACAGACGTCCAGTAGGGGCACGGGTAAGAACGTTACAACAACAAACAGTACAAAGGCACGATAGTAGTGCAAGTACAGAAAAGGTAAACAAATCACTAAAAATATACAAATTAGAAACGAAATCATCCCCATCCTACCAGGCAAAGCCCACTGAGGTGTTACCTTACTTTTTCAGAAGCGACCTGGCCACAAATGATAGCGAAACAAAGTGGCTTATCAATTGGAAATTAATAGAAGCAAAATAATCAAAATAATTTCAATGCATGTGTTAAGTATTATAAACAAAACTTAAATGCACTTTGGCCATTCTCAATCCACCAATGGATGAATGCTTCCTCATGCCGTGGTCAGAGGTGTTTTTTTTTACAACACTTAAGTACGTTGGTCATTGAGGTTCGTTGAAGTGGAGGGATGGCAGACTGGTTCTCATATAACTACACCACTGATATTAGCCGTGGCTGCGATCGAACTCGCTAACCACTGCACCACCACTCCAAGTCTCCAACCCCAAGTTTCATATACGGCGTGGTAAACGCCAATCGAGATATTGTAAATTGTACTGTTTGTTCTTGTAACTAGCTGACCCACCCCTCCTGGACATATGAAAAATAGCTTCATAGCTCATCGGACTCCTCAAGGACAAATAAAGATTATAATTATGAAAAAAGCCATACAATAAAATAGAAAGTCAAAAACTCTACAGGGATAGTGAAGTGGTGTGATGCGACAGTACACAGGACAGAGTTAAAAGATGTAATACATGTATTGAAAATTGGTAGGAGATGTGTAGTCTCTTTGAAATAAAATACTGTTTTGTCTAATTTCTTCCGATTTATTTCTGGAGGGATATCTACAAATGGATCACCGTGAACGTCATGGTCTAATAACAGTCGTGTATGTGCATAGATGTATAATGCCAAGTGAATATAGTGCAAGGTTTGACATAATTACCAGTGTGCAGAGCAAGTTAGGAGCACGTTAAGAAGATAGGTACATTATTTATTATAAGTAAAATTTATAAGAAAAATAAATCGAGTAGACATGGGCAGGCAGCGTCATGAGAACGGATGAGATGAGAGACAAAACCAACGATGGGGTGGAGACTGAGAGACAAGAAGAGAAGCAAGAGGAGATGGCAGCAGCTAAATAACACCGCAGGGTTCCCAAGGCGTGACTGGACAGGAGCAGCTGGGAAAAGGAAGGGATGGAAGAAAATGTAGGCCATTGCCATGCAGCGGGAAGTCACAGGATGACAACAATAACAACAACTCGAGTGTTTAACTTACCTGGTAAGGATGGGCGAGGAGTGTGGGGATCGCGCTGGCACAGACTCGGCCGAAGATTGGCTGCTCACAGAGGTAGCCGATTGGCTGGTGCGTGGGCTGTAGGGCCGCAGGAAGGAGCTGTACACAAACCCTTGTGCCACTTTGTATTGCCAATGAGTGGAAGGAAAAGAATTGGGAACGAACCATTAATTTGTCTACAATAAACATGTCATACAGACTGATTCACAGATTTTATTTCGTTGTATATCTTGACCTTATGCTTTCCCACCAGCCACATGGTACAAGTATAATTGTGAATTCATCTGTGGATAAATGCTAGGCATGTTACTATGTATGCATCGTTTCTTGCATTAAAATTGAGTTTTTCACTGAGAATCCACGCATTGCTCACGCCAATGTTTATGCTAATGATGTTAACAAAACCGCACAAAAGGAGACAAAAAACCCAGAATCAATACAAATGCAATGGTGAAAAGACAAATATATAAAATATTTGTTTTAATCGAACCATGACCCCAAATCGCAACAATTCATTAAAGAGCCGTGGGGGGTAACGGATCATGTTTATGTGCCAAATAAGAATACTGAAAAGGAATAACATTTCAATAAAAAACAGACAGGTCAAATGCACGCCCTCAAGTGTACTGATACAGGTGCTGGCCATGCAGGTGTGCTGGCGCCTTGGGTGCATCTTCACGTGTAGGTGAATTGGCCGGGTGTTGTTTGGGAGTCCGGCCACATTCTCCCATCGCTGATCATGTCGTATGAAGATCAGAAACATTTTAAAGTATTGCAAAATTGTGAGAATTGTGTTTAAACTTACCGGTGAGTGAGCCGAATAATGTATAATAGGCGAGGCGCGTCGTTAAACGCTTACACAAGTGTCGATTTTATTTATTTGCTTATGTCGTGTGGTGGAGGGTTTCAAGACATACATTTGGCCAGATCATGAGGTGGCCTAAACAAAAAAACCAATGAGTCAGTTCACAGTTTAATGTTAAGTTTTTATATATCTTGTCAAGTTTCAAAGATGCTGTTACTGGGCAATGAGTACAGTGGACACAAAATGTTCCTTCTCATGAACAACTGCTGACCAATCAGCTTTGCATTGGGTGGCAGCTAAATCTGCATGTGTGCTGGTGAAAATGTCAGGGGGTGTTGTACAGTTGGCTGGTGGATGACGGTGAACGTGGATCCCGACCTACACAAGAATGGCGACATCCCCGCGGGTGCCCCTGCAATGCACGGATCTGACAAATTACCCAGGACACCGGAACGGCAGCAGCCTTTGCTCAATGGCGGAGCCAGGATTTTCAGGTAGAGGGGGCAACCCTTCCAGCAATGAAAAACGATAGTTGTTAGTAAGTAAGGACTTGTCCCTTGCTTTTTATTAGATGTGTGCGCGGCGATGGCGTGGCCATCAATCGAGGGTCGAATTCGAACCGCGTTGTGTGATCGGCATCACGCTCGCTGAAGGTGTTTGCCTTCAGGGAAGTCGTGTAGTGTATACGCAACTGCTCACAATTCTGTGAGTCACTTATAACTGCTTTGCCGTTATTTATTGCCAATTATGGACTCAGACTATTATCCTATCATCTCATAGAGTCCCTGGCACGTAATAATATGCTACACAGTGGCAGTGGGGGTCGCAAAATGCCGATTTATTACTAATAAACCCCATTGATCCGATCGTAATTAGGGATTTCGATCGGATCATTGGGGGGGCACGTGCCACCCCACCCCCCAACTGGCTCCGCCAGTGCCTTTGCCCACCCGGTCATAAGAGGTCACCCACAGCTGGCGCAATAGTCCTTTGCTGACTATACGTGCCGATTGGATTGCGCGATTGGTCCGAGCAATATGGGTACCCCCGAGGCCGACAAACCAGTACGGCTGGCTGCGGCACTCTCACATGCGTGCTGGTAAAACATCCGGGTGTGCGGGCGCGCACGTACCCCCGTTGCTGACGAACCAGCGGCGATGGCTGCCCATGGGATCCTGCTGCTTGATGACGGCGACGAGCTCGCCTTCGCTCAGCGCCAGGTCCAGATCCTGCGCCACGTTCACTTTGCGATCGAGAACAAAGAGGCGATCGGGCGGGAAGCGCGCCAGCAGCTGCGAGCGGCCCGAGTCTGTCTGCGTGCTGCCGCTCGTTGCCTGCACAGGGCACCCCGGTGGTGATTTTGTTCACACATTTAGTCACGGAAATGTCAGTCAATTCAGGAGCACTATTTTTCAGCCACTAATGATTATGAGTGAACGGAAATCACCAAGCGTGGCGATGACCTCCGACCAAACCAGGAATATGCTGAGACAAAGTGAAGAGTCAGTCTAAGATAAGATAGTCAAGACATTAGAGAGTGCAGTGTGCAATGATAATTGGCTGTACTTTATAGAAAAATATTTACCAATATAAATAATTGGCTGACCTGTTAATAATTGGGGGACATTCATTTCACGCCCCTCTCTATGAAGATGAATAACAAAGAGACTTTGACTAAATGTTCGACTGTTTTAGAAGTTTAAATAAGAGAATGGCAATGCTGATTAGATTGCTTTTAACACAGTTGCTGAGCACAGGACCAAAGGCCCAAAATGTCAAATGGCCAGCAACAAACATCACGAACACAGTTGAAATAGATAAGAGTTGTTCACACGTTTCTTGAATTAAGCAAGGTTATCATAAGAGTTTGGGAACAGAGATCGTGGTAGGGAGTGAAGCAGAAAGCATAGTGTTTTGACCTGCAGTGTGGTGGTTGAGTGTGCGAGTGTGTTGTTGTGGCCTGCAGTGTGGTGCCGGTTGGCCACAGTATTGATGAAATGAAACAGTCAGTCTGGTAGACACGGGTGGAGGAATCGACGAGTCAAGCTAACGGTGTTCATGGCAGTAGTGACAGAAGAGCGATAAGGATAATTGAACACCGGCCACATTATAGCGGGTGCCGTCGGGTGACGTGGCGAGTGGGTTCCGGGGACCGGGTTCTACCAGGATGCCGGAGAGCCTGGAGGCAGCGCGCCGGTCCATGCTGCGCCGTCCGTCAAGCCCACGGCGCAAACTGTCTGGCTGGTCGCACATGAAGCTGAAGCGCTGCAGCTCAGTGAGTGCGTGCACGTGCCGCGCACCAAACGCACCCTGCTGCTCCGCCTGCAACAGACGCAGAGACACCCCCCCCGGCGTACCCTTTAACGGTGCTGTTCGCGAGCGGCTATGAAGGCCGGCACCGTGCACAATGAGCTGCAGTGTGTCTAGCACCACGCTCGGCTGCCTTCATCTCCCCTGTGCTGATGTTGACATAGTAATAGTAATATGTATATTCATGTTTCATTATTTTATGTAGTGTAGTCATTGATGCACATTGAGTCTTAAAAATCGCTGAAGAACCACAGACAAGCTGGAAGGCAGCGACCAGGCAGTGAGCTGATGCCAACAATTGCAGAAGTGCTCTATATAGCAGTGCTCTTTTTATTAAGAATGTTTTTAATCACCATTTATTAAGGCTGAGTAAACCTAGGGGAGGCCCAGCACCAGTTTCAGATATCACCCACAACTGATGTTGGCGGTGGCTGGCAATGGAACCCGTCATCGATGCGCTTACAGCAATTGTAATGTTTAACGCAAGATGACAGTGCCGCCGTGTCCGTTTGCCCGTTTGCCATTGTCCATTTGCTTTTTAATACAATGCTTCCTGTGCAGCGAGCCTCGGAAACAAAACCCGATGTACTGTACAAGTTGTTAATTCTTCCTCGAGCTGTTTGCAAAATGGGACTTCAATAGAAACTATTTTTATAATACAATGCACTGCTGTTTACATAATAACTCCAACCCTCAATGTAGATTAAGTTTCACCACCGTTATGCGCAGTTGCACGTGCGATCAACTCATCCGGAATGCGCCCCCATCCCGTCAGACTTTGAGCCTGGACAGCGCTTGGAGGGGTCACCGCCATGCACAAATGCGCTGTCATGGGGCTTACAGGGCTTGGTTTTGGGCAGCAGAGCAGCGCTGGATAAATCCTTTGTTACGTTCGGCTCCTATGCTCCCCGCCTTCAATAAAACGCACTGACCAGGGTAGAGCGAAGGCCTTGACCCGCACGCTGCGGGCAGGTCCTCATCCAGCAGTGGATTGACTATCAGTCTGTACATCTACATCCGGGCCCAGTGACACAAATGTCTCATGTGCGGGGAGCACTGGGGATGCAAACAAATCAAAAACGGTATAAAAACACTAATTCAGGAGAGAAAAAAATGGTGTGTAGAACTCTGATCTTTTCCAGTGCATAATGCTTTTCCTCATCACAGTCCAAGGAAACGCACAATGAGATTGTGTACGAAAGGACAATATGACGACACGGTCCTGGGTATGCATCTTGCTGGGTAAGGCACGGGGGGCACGAGCTATGGGGCAGGGAGACACGAGGCACGGAGAAAAAGGGCACAGGTCATGGGACGTGGGCACACGCAGACATGGGGCACGGAGACACGGGGCACGGCACCAAGTGGCACACCTGTACGTCAAGGGGCTGCAGCTGCTGGAGGATGGCGAGGACGAGGTCGCGGTGCACCGCCACGAGGTTGCGCGCTGCAGCTCCTAGCAGAGCCTGCCCTCCTGCTCTCAGCAAGGGCAGCTCCTCCAACAGCTGGGCATTGAGGGCAACGTAGTCCTTCTGGGTGGCCTGCAGCGGGGAGGGAGTTGGCGATCCAATAATTTATTAGTTTAATTTGATTTATTTTAGTTTCATAGTTGTACTCCACAATTTTATTTCTCACGCTTCTCTGCCTCAGCAATGTAGGTCAGTTACATTTATATTGTTGAAATGTTAAATGGGCCCAGGAATGCACTACCAGGGGGATTCAACCTTGTCCTCAAAAAAACAAACCTTCCCACGATGCATTGTGCCAGCAATACTTTAAAAAATGTACTTTTAATATAAGTTTGTGTATTTTGTAATACTTTTGATGGAAGTGTACAGTGAGGGAAAAAAGTATTTGATCCCCTGCTGATTTTGTACGTTTGCCCACTGACAAAGAAATGATCAGTCTATAATTTTAATGGTAGGTTTATTTGAACAGTGAGAGACAGAATAACAACAAAATCCAGAAAAACGCATGTCAAAAATGTTATAAATTGATTTGCATTTTAATGAGGGAAATAAGTATTTGACCCCCTCTCAATCAGAAAGATTTCTGGCTCCCAGGTGTCTTTTATACAGGTAAACAGCTGAGATTAGGAGCACACTCTTAAAGGGAGTGCTCCTAATCTCAGCTTGTTACCTGTATAAAAGGCACCTGTCCACAGAAGCAATCAATCAGATTCCAAACTCTCCACCATGTCCAAGACCAAAGAGCTCTCCAAGGATGTCAGGGACAAGATTGTAGACCTACACAAGGCTGAAATGGGCTACAAGACCATTGTCAAGCAGCTTGGTGAGAAGGTGACAACAGTTGGTGCGATTATTCGCAAATGGAAGAAACTCCAAAAAACTGTCAATGTCCCTCGGCCTGGGGCTCCATGCAAGTTCTCACCTCGTGGAGTTGCAATGATCATGAGAACGATGAGGAATCAGCCCAAAACTACACGGGAGGATCTTATCAATGATCTCAAAGCAGCTGGGACCATAGTCACCAAGAAAACAATTGGTAACACACTATGCAGTGAAGGACGGAAATCCTGCAGCGCCCGCAAGGTCCCCCTGCTCAAGAAAGCACATATACATGCCCATCTGAAGTTTGCCAATGAACATTTGAATGATTCAGAGGACAACTGGGTGAAAGTGTTGTGGTTAGATGAGACCAAAATGGAGCTCTTTGGCATCAACTCAACTCGCCGTGTTTGGAGGAGGAGAAATGCTGCCTATGACCCCAAGAACACCATTCCCACCGTCAAACATGGAGGTGGAAACATTATGCTTTAGGGGTGTTTTTTTCTGCTAAGGGGACAGGACAACTTTACCGCATCAAAGGGACGATGGACGGGGCCATGTACCGTCAAATCTTGGGTGAGAACCTCCTTCCCTCAGCCAGGGCATTGAAAATGGGTCGTGGATGGGTATTCCAGCATGACAATGACCCAAAACACACGGCCAAGGCAACAAAGGAGTGGCTCAAGAAGAAGCACATAAAGGTCCTGAATTGGCCTAGCCAGTCTCCAGACCTTAATCCCATAGAAAATCTGTGGAGGGAGCTGAAGGTTCGAGTTGCCAAACGTCAGCCTCGAAACCTTAATGACTTGGAGAAGATCTGCAAAGAGGAGTGGGACAAAATCCCTCCTGAGATGTGTGCAAACCTGGTGGCCAACTACAAGAAACGTCTGACCTCTGTGATTACCAACAAGGGTTTTGCCACCAAGTACTAAGTCATATTTTGCAGAGGGGTCAAATACTTATTTCCCTCATTAAAATGCAAATCAATTTATAACATTTTCACATGCATTTTTCTGGATTTTTGTTGTTGTTATTCTGTTTCTCACTGTTCAAATAAACCTACCATTAAAATTATAGACTGATCATTTCTTTGTCAGTGGGCAAACATACAAAATCAGCAGGGGATTAAATACATTTTTCCCTCACTGTATCTGCTCCTCAATAGTTACTTTCAGCGAGCTATTCATATGACCATTTCAAAATTGGTCATCAGAAAATGTTTATAAAATGTCAATTTATCATGTCCATGAGTCAATTGTTGTCTCCAACTCGTATTCACTCTTACTGGCCTCTTTATATATTGCCCAAAATGTCATCTATATATTTTTCCTTTAAAGGACACAATGTTACTGATTAATGTATTCAGTTTATTTGTCAATATTGCATCCTCCATTTTGAGTGCCAGAGGTACAGTTGCATTATCTTAATTACATAACTATGGCATTTTACAAAAATAACCGTAAATCAACACTGGCCAAAAAAGTCAACCCTTATAATTATATTTGTTTCTGCACTTAATTTTGATAAATTACAGCTGTGTTTACATAACAGGAAACAAACAATGTTCATTAATCACAAACTTAAAAGCAAACACTCTCTAAAAAAATCACAAGTTCAGTATAATTATGCATACGCATATATTATGCAATGCTTTTCAACATACTTACTCTTGGGAGTGTGTAATTATTAGTAGGGAAGCCGATGCTGGCTGTCTGGGCAAAAAAGAATTCATATTTGTAAATAATGTGTTGTTCTGCAACATGTCTCCCAAGATTCGGGCAACCCTTTGATCAATATGGCTGGTGTTCGAGGGGGAAGTCCTAAATAGTTATGTTTATAATGTATCGTATTTATGCTAGTTATATCGTTCCCCCCCCCCCCTGCCGTTACAGATGGATGAAGCTAATGCATAAATGCTTTCGACCAGAGTTGGAAAGCGTTGCACGAGATGATGAAGCATAGTGCAGACGCACTCCGGCTGGAGCAATACCTGCAGCTCCTCCGACTCGGGCCGGTCCCGGTTGCGCTCGCTTGCTTCGCGGCGTGCGCTGTAGTCCAGCAGCTTGTCGTAACGCTTCTGCACGAGCTTGTGCGGCCCCGCAAAGGAGGCCAGCAGGGCGGACAGAGGGGAGATCACCAGCCGGTCCACGCGATCCTTCTGGAAGCGTCACGCGAAGTGAGAAAGCATGACGGGTCACGTCGTTAGCGTTCCAGTGGCAACTACAGATGAAAGCGGAGGGTCAAATTGATGATGACTGTCCGAGTGAGTATGCTTCACCACGGTTGAGTTTTTGTTTTCTATATTTGCATTTTCCCATAATTTTTTCGCGATTGTGCTGTTGGTGTCAGGTCATGAGGACGAAGGATCCATTTGGATCTCTCACAGCACTGTGCGACTCTCCATTTAAGAGAATGGCCCAAAGAAGCAGATATCAGAGAGCTACTCTGATATCTCATCCAGTGACACTGTGTGGTCCACACGGTGGGGGGCAGCACTTTCCCACCCACCCTGCTGCAGAGTAATGTCTGTCACATGACAGCGAAACCGATATTTGTAATACTCACAGCTGGAATTTAGTAAACAAAAATTAGTGCACAACCAAATTTAATTATCGTTTTATGCACAGTCATTGGGGGGTGGGGGTTGAGACCATCACTCCACTTAAGAGCCCAGTTTGAACACAGGTGGCTGGCCGGATTTGAACACATTAACTCACCAGTGCCAGCTCGGCTCAGTACTTGGACATCTGAGCTACCCAGGCACTTCTAGTTCAGTCACCTTTATTTAGAATATGCCATTGCCAGGTGATTCGGTACAGTGATTGTCAATCCGTCCTACGTGTACTGCGTACAAACTGAGGGAAGGACTCGGTGGCGATGTGCCGGCACGTGTGTTGGTAGCGATCGGCGTCGGGTTTGGCGTGAAGTGCCGAGAAGCTGGAGGAGCACTGAAGCTCGGCAGCCAGAGCTTCCTGAGCGGGGAACGGCACACGGCAGAGCGGACACCGTGCGATTCACGTGACAGAGCAAGTGGTGACAGAGCCACAACAAATATCCCTCCCCCTCTCGACGTACAGCCGACCGTCACTACTAATCTCACCGCATCATTCGCTGAAACAGCATTGAAAAATAACTGTTTAAATCACTTGACAACAATGAAGCAGAGACGTGACATCATATAACTATGATGAACCACGTACGTACATATTGTAGACTTAAAGCTCTTTTGTCAATCCAGTGCCGTATGAGGGCCTCCCGGTGCCGTGCAGGCCATGGGGGCTATTTGATTAAACGTCACCACCACGCTGGTCAGTGTAGGCTGGTAAAGGTGTTAAGCACAGATTTGGAAGCATAGAATTATATTACAACAATAGTATTATATATATAACTGAACTGCCCTATGCTGGTCACCACACAGCACAGCCTTACTATTATAAACATCTGCAGGAGTATGTACTTCATATAGAGATATGTGTTATTATCTTAAACCATACCGCTAAAATGGGCACAGCAATTATAATTACACTCACAACACACACTTTTTCATATTGTGCACCAAGCAGACATAATAACATCTTTCATTTTTTATATGTTTAAAAAAATATACAGATCAACGGCCATATTAATTACACTGAGCAAGACGGGAATTCTTCCATGAATCAGTGCGAGATGGTGAGCGAGCATAGAGCTGTGCCTGGGTGGCACGTGTCCCGTTTGTACCCGCAGCTGCTGGGTGTAGAGAGAAAGGCTGCGCAGGAAGGACTTGACAGCGCGCTCGAGGCCACGGAAGCCTCGCTCCTCCTCCTCAAATGCCTCGTCCCGGATCTAACACCCAACACGCACACACAAACACCACAATACAACTACACAACACATCGTTGGTTCACAGCAAGCATTACGATTCGTCATTGATTCTTGGATTTGGCCGCGTAATGAGCTGGTCAATTGTCGTGAAACCATCCATCATCCGACATTACCAAACAAACTACAATGTCCCATGTACAAGCGTAAAACGTGCCAAACCTTAATGTCTCAGAGTCCTAACCAGTAAGTTGAAGAACAATTCTCAACCAAATTTACCAATTAGTTACCATGAAGTTTGCCTTTAAACTGCAACAAATGCACCTCCGATGAGCACGGTTGGCTAGATGCGGTGCGAAAGAAGTTCACCATCCACACATTCAGAAGAAGATCCGGAAAGTAATTATACAATTTCTGCATTTTAACTCAACCAGTAAGGTTTGTCATGTTAAAAACGCACCAATTAGTTACTACTTCAGCCCACCGGTGTGTTGGAGAGTAAATCCACAACATTTACAATTTGAGTAGGACGACGTTTCGCTCGTAATTACATCAACCAGCATCATCGGGCGATTTGCCAGAATAGTGAAGCGATCCACCTGCTTCCGGTCTTAAATAGAGCAAGATGATGCCATCACTGTGAACCCATCAGGTGCAGAGATCAGAGGGGGAGGAGGGGGGATTTATTGTAATTAAGCCTGTAACTGTCAGAGCGGTTAAAATCATTTGTATTTCTCTCAATTTCAATAGATTCTCGAATAAGTCCCGGCCAATAATTATTATTTTTACACAACACTTCAAAGTTAGCAAAATCAATTGAGTGTCCTTGTTGGAAACCATGCTCTGCAACTGCCAACAGTTGTTTTTGTGAGTATTTAATGTTTATTTGGTGTTTAGTCTTACACTAAAGTTCCGTCCCGTCTGTCCAATAGCATCTGCCACATACGTAATTAATCCAAAACACGCCTTCTGTTGATAACTTAGGCAATTCATTTCTAGTACAAGATACTAGTTTTTGAATTTTGTGTACTGTGCCAAATCTTACTCTAATTTTTTTTCCAAAACTCTACCTAGTTTGTGAGTTACTCCCGTAATATGGTATTTTAATTGTTTCAATAACACGATCACTTTCAGCAGTATTGCTGCCGTATTTCCGATCTTGGTTTGGCTTTCAATGCTCTGTTAATTTTTGTATTATTGTAGCCATTTAATCGTAGAGCTTCTTTAACATGTTTAATCTCGCTCCTCAGACTATCACCATCTGACACTGTTTCATCCCAATGTATGAGTGTCTTGATGAGAGAGGATTTCCGTGGGGGGTGATGATGGGAATCTGCCGTCAGATAGGCATCAGTGTGCGTTTCCTTTCGGTAAACGCTGTGTGTTATTTTGCCATTTAGGCCACATGTGAGAAAAATATTCAGGAATGGGAGTGTGTTATTCACCTCCACTTCCATTGTGAACTGGATGGCCGGGTTTTGCGAATTGAGATAAGTTCGAAATTAATTGAGTGTATATTTACTATGTGGCCAGACAATCAAAGTGTCATCTACATTTCTTAACCAAAACGATGGATTTAGTGTACTTGTAGCAAGTGCTCTTGCTTCAACTTTTCCATGGACAGATTCGGTATAGCAGGAGACAAAGCAGAGCCCATTGCTGCTCCTTCCTTTGTTATTACTCGATGTGCAGGTAAATAAGACAAGTTTAACAAGAGATATTCCAAAACTAGCTGACCATTGTTTAAATAACACTTATTTCTTAGGGAGAGGTGATTTCTTTAAACAAAACAGATGGAATATTACATTTTGTAGAGAGAAGCAGTTAGTCATCGGCAAACAAAGAGAGATCGAGCCCTTGTACTGCCTGCACAGGCTTGTAGGGGTAAGTGTTATTAGTGAGCTCATTAAAAACTGGCACAGCACAGGATGGGGTGGTATGGTGTGGCCAGTAGCACACCTGGCTGCCTTTGTCTGCCCAAGCTAATATTTACGCACGGTAAACAGTGACTCATTTGAAGATGATTGGATGGAAAGGAGGCCTAAAAGCATTTAGATATTTGCCACTGATGTTGGCTGTGACGGGAATCAAACTTTGGACACCGGGTTCGAAGCTCAGTGCGCTGAACACACGACCACTCCACACACCACACGTAGACACACACAGACAAAACTACTACATGCATAAATGTATCACAACCCGACACATGGAACCACAATCACAATCATGAACCTAATATCGCTGGAAGTCGCCCTACGAACGAAAATGCGCCACAACCGAAAACAGTCCAAAATCGTTTGCACATACAAAGGTGCCGCAGTGGGAAAATGAGCTCAGCTAACCAGGTGGCGCCACTGTACCTGGGAGGCCATGCCTGTCAGATGCTTGAGGTGGCCACTGACGCGGCTCGACTTCTTCAGAATGGAATGCATGTTCAGTTTGGAGAGCTTGTCAATCAGTGAAGAATCATCATCTTTTCTGTACTTGACCACTGCCGAGAAATTGAATAACGTCAGAAAATAACAATTAAAAAAGGCAATGGTGATGTTTCACCACCACGTCAAGAAACCACGTGCTCGGGAGTATCTCTGACAGCACAGTGCAGTGTGGGGGACGCGTGGCAAGCACCATGCACACACTAAGGCCGTATTCTTCATCACGGCTCACAGCTCAGGCTTGCCTCTGGCTCAAGTGAGATGGCTCAAAGCCATGCTTAACTTGAGCCAGCTCTGGACAAGGTCTCAGCCATACTAAGAATTTCCATGAGCTGAGCCTCAGTCAAACCATGGGCTCAGTCATCTGAAAGTAACTGAGCGGCTCAAGCCTGAAATGAGCCGTGTTAAGGGGTCATGCCAGAGCCTAGCCGTGACTGTGAATATGGCCTTACATGGAGACCATGTGCAGACAGGGGAAGTGGGACCCTTAAAGGCAGACATGAAAAAGATAGACACAAACCCAGAGACACATGTGCAGATAGAAGAAGAGCGACGAATACGTACAAATCCACATAGCCAAGGAGAAAAATCTGATCATCTTTGGGGGGGGACCCTAAAACAGTTGAGACCGACTAGGATCAGCACTGGGGAAGTGCACCAAGTGTCCCAATGGCACCAACCAAGTTCACGCTCCGTTGCAGTATGTCACCGTTAGGGTGGCCCACAACCACAGCTCTACTGACCCCCTATCCAAAAGGAGCTGGAGCCGGGCGCCTGTGGACGTGGTCACGCAAACACGACTAACCCAGGTCCTTCCGGCGTTTGAACTCGTTGATGTTGTGGTTGAGCTGTCGCAAGGCGACGAGCGCTTTGCTCAGCGACGGCTGATCAGGGTGAGACGGTGGCGTGGCTCCCAGGAGCTCCGTCAGCAGCAGCGGGTAGCGCATCACCCTCTGCACTGGCTTGATGAGCAGGGCCCCCAGGTTAATGTAGTTGGACCTTTCCCTGGTTATAATAAAAAAATCAAGCATCAGAAATGTCAACGTAAACACACCAACCTCTCGCATGCAAACAATCATGTCTGTTGCTTACAAAAGATGTATTGGTTTGGGTGATGTAGGTTTTGGATACACCTTGGCCAGGAAATGGCATTTCAGCAACACTGAATCCGAGCGTGTGAATCACTGCATGCTTGGGTTTTAAATAAACGCACTGCTAAAAGCACGTGACATTTCCAAAACATACACACGTCACCTCATATTTTTGAGACACACTGCCATCTGTGCCTTGATGTCCTCATCCTTCTCGCTGGCCTCCAGGAGCGAGATCGCGTCATCGTGGTTGCGGCAGTACACCTTGTACACCTCCTCAAGCTCGCTTTTGAAGGCGAGGAAGATCTCGCCTGGAGACAACAAGACGTCGTCACCGTAAGATACCCGGCCATCGGCAGATAACGTAGCTGGCATGTATGCTGAACTGCTTTCGCACCGTACGTAACCAACCGTGCTAATTATCGGAGGTGCTGTGTGTCGACGGAACTGCAAACCAAAATGTATTAAATACCCAATGCATATCAAGTCAACACACTAACAAAAATTGTACTCTCTGCCTTCAGCTTGTTTAATAAATGAAGAGGGCAATGGACAATGCGGCGTTTACCACGTACCGATCTTCTGGTCGTCGGGGCGGGCGATGTGGACGGCTGACTGCAGCGACTCGTAGAAGCGGGCGTTCACTTCTAGCACTGCCTCCAGGTTCCCAAACAGCCCCTCCACATCCAGATTGGCCACCTGGGACAGAGAGCGTTCCATCAGTCTTCCACGTCGGCAACGGCATGCGGCGCGGTCCAATCGGCAAGGCGACAACATCGCACCACCATGATGACACGTCTACATTCATCGCTGATTCTCATCTGTTGTCCTGCCCCTCCATTTGCAGTGCAAGGATTCTGCATCCCCCTCCCCCCCCCACCAGCAGCAGGCATGGAGAGAGGAAATATTTTCCAGAGCTCAGCATGGAAAGCTCCAAGTAAAATTAAACCCTGACCCATAGCCTTGAAAATTACTCAATTGGGCTTAAATTTAGCAATCAATTAGCTTCATTATGCAATCAATTAGCTCCAAGTCACTCTTGCAAATGAGAATCATCCTGGTCTCTTGACTTTTCGCTTGGTTAAAAATAAAAATTGAGCAGTATAAAACTTCTTTCCCCCAGCTATCTGTGCTGTCAACCCAATACCACTAATCAAGCAAAGGCTCATAACCTTACACTTTTCCTCCACCAATAATCGACGTCTTTTTCTATAAAAAAATGCCCATTTTCTGTAGTCTTAAGATATGGTCACATTTAGATGCCATGTATATTCAAATTTCACTGTAACTTAATGTTACAATGCAATTTGTATTATCAAGTTGGAGTGTAACTTGATATACGGTCCTCCGATTACCAATAGATTCCTCCCTCTTCATTTCGTGAGTGAAGCACGGTGAAAGTATAAGAAAACAAATGTTCAACATGTGATTCAACCCGAAAGACCACGCACACTTGTATTATGAGGATTAAGAGTGGCTACGAAAACCTACCCGTTAAATTGTGTGACAAACTGCACTGTACTGCAACGCAAGCCAAAATTAGTCGACCTGTGTTTTCCTGAGCGGGATGTAGATCTCCTCCCTGCAGAACTGTAGGTCGGCCAAGTAGTCCCTCTCGGTTCGCAGCAGCTCCTCCAGAACCATCTTGCGCTTCTCCAGCGCTCGGCCCGGCTGAGGGCCCTGTAGCGCCCTGGCCTCGGGGGCGGCGCCGTTCGGTGGCCCGCCCACGTGGGCGGCGCCCCCGTTCATCGGAGCAGAAGGCCCACTCAGCAGCGTCATGTTATCTGAGAAGTTCAAAAGAGACGGGTTCGTAAATCAAAAATAAATACGCATAACGGCAAATGGGTGGCGCTTTCAGTGTGCAACGTAGAAAGGTGAAGGTGCGCAGTCCTGCGATTGCTTGCTCGTGCCACGGCTGGCAAAATGGCCTCCGCTAGAGAAAGCTCGAGAGACCACCTGGTCTACTCTTGCATGCTGGCCATCAACTAACTGTGGCGCAATTATTTATACAGCCGTGTGAAGAGAGGTGGGGATAATTAGCAAGCTTGCCGAATGTTTTAACTGCCACGCCAGGAGGTCAGATCAAACCGGCGACCTCTTGATTGCAAGTCCAGTGTGCTAACCATTACACCGTGGTTTAGTACTGCATAATTAATGTATAAATAAGTACAGTAAAACCTTGGATTGCGAGTAACTTGGTCTGCGAGTGTTTTGCAAGACGAGCAAATTTTTAAAATAAATTTTTACTTGATAAACCAGCGAGGTCTTGCAATACGAGCAGTACGTATACGCTTTGTCTGCAGAGCGTCACGTGATCACAACTGAGCCGATGGTTCTTCTCTCTCGCTACGGGATTGTGGGTAATCATCTCCCATGCTCGGACTCAGTCGGCGTGCCTCACTCGTATAGTCAACATCCGTGCGAGTGTATACTGTTTACTATAGTGTTGTGACCACGTGTGTGTGCGTAAAGCATTTTTTTTATTTTGTGTCCAAGTGTAGTGACTGTTCTTTTGTAACTGTACTGCAACAATGGGCCACTCCTCTCCTCTCTGTCGTCTCCCTCACACCAGCCACGATTAAATTTAATTACTTTATATTAAATAAAAATATAAAAAGGTATTTTGTATTAATCATTGTTATATGAATATTTTTGGGTTGTGGAACGAATCATCTCAGTTTCCATTATTTCTTATGGGGAAATTCGCTTTGATATACGAGTGCTTTGGATTACAAACACGTTTCCGGAACGAATTATGCTCGCAATCCAAGGTTTTACTGTATAAGCAATGCCTTGACCAAATCAGCCAGAATGTGCTGGATCGGAAGCTCATCAGGGTTCATTCTGGAGAGTTCGTGGATAGTAGAGGGGTGACCACTATGCACAGCAGGTTTTTACATACTGCAGGGCAGCATGGTGGGAAGCAGAGGGCAATGCAGCAATATAGAATGCAGTACTCTTTGCTCACGCATCCATAGTTCTCGTCTTCAAATACCCGCACTGTCCAGCATTCTGAAGTATGGCCAAATTACACCTATGTGACATCTAAATGGGAGTGACTTTGAATAATATTAGTTTGAAAAACAGAAAAAAATATCCACCAATACAAATAAATCATGACTTTTACTGCAAATTGTGATATTTTAAAACTACTACTATACTATCTAGCTAGCTTACCCGACCTTGTCAATGCTTTTACGTTATCTCCATACATGACCGGTTTGAACAAGCACATGAGAAATGAGGCACCTGTTTGCCTCTGCCGGTCTGGCCGCCCTTGGGCCAGTACTTTGTATGTTCTGCATTAGCCATAGAGCTTTGCTTCAATGCCATCACCAAGGACTTGGGCTAATCCATGGAAACGGCAAACAGCAATTCTAAATTGCCCAGCCACGGCACGCTGAAAATAAAATCCCACAACATTCGAGTGTATTTGCTCTCCCGCAAAAATGTACATAACACAATTACACTTGCAGTGCCCAACTCATTATGTAGCATATGCAAACTAATGTTGTGTTGCTTGGGGACACTGTGGGTATCTCATTCTTTGGGTGTTTCGGTAAAGTCACATAGAACAAAAATATGTGTTCTATCTCCACACATAAAACTGTATCTTTTAGTCTATCAGCTGACCAGTGTTCCAGAGCAATATTATCAAGCAGCATTTGTTGACGTAAGCAAACTCTGTGCAAGTTTTGACGAATGTCTCTTCCCAATAAGATCTGGTAGTCCACCAGCTTTTTTTTAAACAATTCTTATTGTTGACGAGACCCAAATATTGCAACAAATGTCGTTTGATGCTATTAGTCTGGTAAGCAAAAAGGCTTGAGCACTAAAATACATCTTTATGTGTGGAGGAAAAAACGGAGTTATGCTCATTTATACGTAATTATGCAGTGGTTGAGCACACGTAGTGCGTTTTATATTTTCCAATGCAGCACAAAGGCGTCTCTCTCGTCTCCCCATCCACCCCAATAGTGATTTCCATCACAGCCCCCGTGCGAGAGCCCCGTCCGGGCACAGAGGCATGTTCACGCCGCCTGCACTGGCTTGCTGTGGCATTGTGCTGGAGATGGGGGTGACCTGCCGGGCGTGAGAACACAAGGGGAGCACCGGGGGGGGGGGGGGCGCACGGGGGGGGGGGCGGCGCACGCGCCGTCGCGTGAGCAGCCGCCGCCGCCCACCCCCGTGTGGCGGTCTCGCCCTTCCTCGTCCAAGCAACCCCCCCCAACCCCCCAGCTGCTTGCGAGTAATTACCGACATATCCCACTAGAACACGGTGAAGATTATAGAGAAAACAACATTTTAATTCAAAGCTGCGACATGACCCCCAGGAATCCCAATGCACTTTCCGAATGTTCCTCCGACCTCCCCTCTGTTGCTTACGAATAGCTGTCAGCTTTTGATCAATAGGGTGATCCATTTATAGATACTACACACAATGAGAATAGGGAGATATAGATAAAACGAAGTATTAACTCATAGCCTCTACATGTCTAGCTCTCTGATGTGTTCGCTCCACGTGCTGGGAGCTTAAGCTATACAGCACAACCCTGGAAACCTACAGTGGTATTCTTGTACATGTCTTCGACAAATCTCATGACGCAAATTAAATCTGTTAACACGCGACACTCTCAATCATAGGCAGTATGAACTGCTCACAACGCTTCATGATGCGCGAGCTGAGGTCATTGCTCCCACACATGTCACGTGTACAAGGTCGACGGCGAGTGGGGCATCTCCAAACGGACCTCCATGTTAATTGAAACTTCACACTAAACTTTTTAACATTGTAAGTCCATATTAAACAAGCTGCATGCATGTACAACTCCTTTCACATTGCACGTAGCCAACCGTGCTCATCGGAGGTACGAAGCTTGGCCGAAGCCACAATAAGAATGTTAGTAACATTTACGCACCAGCAGCAACTGTTACTGTAACATACACAGGCGAAAAAATGCGCAATTCATTTGGGAGTTAATCAGAATCGCCGTTTCTAATTAATCCATTTGAATAGGTCTGGATAGGCAAGGTTAAGTGTCAGCTCTTTTCAAAAGACAATGGAGGACAAAGGCTACGGGGTGCACCGCTTGTTCCAGTTGTGAGAGCAGATTACAACTGGACAGGGTAGCACAGTAGGCGGCGCGGCCTTAAATAGTCAACAAACTTCACGTACACCAACTGAGCTGCAGTTAAAACAGCGGACAACACTCCGTACCTGTATAAAAAGACGGCACCTCGAACATCACACACCTGTCGTCACACCTTGCTGCATAACAGGCGCGCGTGGGATATAAGTTATCCTCGCTGGAAGCGAGCTCGTCTTCCAGCACGGCCATGAGCCTCTCTCGCTCTTGTTACGTTTTGTTTTCTCTCCCGCAGACGCCAGAGCGGCTGGGGTCCAACCTGTACCGCCCACCCACCAAACCCAGCAGCCCGTTCCACAAAACAACCCCAAAGCTCCCAGTACAAACAAGGGGCCTTTTCAGCCGCACAGCAATTAACATCTCAATGGGCCAGCTACGGCCAAAGATGAGATAACAAAAGGCAGCCCCCCCCCCCCCCCCCAGCAGAAGAGAAAACGTGGGGCGGATCATTGTACACGAGCGTCCAAGTACAGCATTATCAAATTACATGACCGCCGAGGTAAAATCGTCTTGGCATACATAAGTAAAAAATGTGCGAATGTAACACTAAAAATAACAGTTCACGTATGTTTTTTACTCAAGATACCACAAAGTAAAATCCAATATCCACTGCATTTTACTCTAGTGCCGGGTGGAACAAATATACAAAGGCCAAAGACCTCTGATGGGCCACGGCCAGCAGACAACCCACGGGTTTCTGGTAAAAGTTTGTGTTCCTAAAGCAGTAACATCAAATGCACTCCCTAGCGTCCAAAATATTGCACATGCCAGCAAACGTCAGGATGAGGTCAGTTTGTGACAGGTCAGAAACTGGAAAATGAACTCAAAAGCAAATACACTTTTACCGGAGCCATATACACACACACACGAGCACGTATGCTCAGTGTGCAGCTGTTTCCCAGTAACGCACGTAAGGCATGCCGCTTGAAAACACGGCAGTCTCGATGGCAGTTGATAGCCACGCTTACCCAACGCGTTTAAGTTGTTGTAGATGCCACATTGCTGCTCTGCCGGGTGCGTCCAACGTGTGCCCACACTTCGTCCACACTTCACAATTCAAACAAAAAAACCTTCCAATTGATAGTTACAGTACAGTAGAGTCGGCGGCACAATTGACTCCGCCTGGCAATGCGGGGGTTGGACTTTGCTTCATCTTGGCAATGTTCTGTTGCACTTAGAGCTCAGGTAATGCCGTTGTTTCCGAATAATAATAATCATGCTAAGAGCAATACGGATAATTTAGTTGACATACTTTAAAAAAAGACTCCGCATGTGCAGTCTTAAAACAGCCGAATGGTTTATCTGCCCCAAAGCGGGCAAAAGCAAGCCTGCTCTTTTTCAAGCGAAACTGATGACTCAATGGTAAGCATGTAAAACCCGTCTTCCGCTCAGGTTAAATTACACCTGTTATCTCGGCCTATGTGAGAGCAAAGAGGAATAGCATCCTCCTCCTCCCCGCCTCCACCACTCTGGGTGCCAGCAATGGCACGTGACCGTATCACGTGACGCTCATGAGACCTTGTGTGCGAGCACCAAATGCAGCCACGCTTATAACCATTACAAGGTGGTCGTACCAGTAGCAGCAGCAGCGGCGGCAAACCCACCCAAGCAGGTTTGTCAACATTTCTAACGTTCGGAAAGCGTCGCAGGAGCAGTAGTTTGTATCCGATTGCCGTTGTGTATATTACTTTGGAATCAAGAATATGGCATTTAAAACCTGTGTAGCATAAATCTTGACTTAAAGCTTTCGTGACTGCAGGAATTCATATTATTTGGGTCTTTCGGTAAAGTCACGTAGATAGGTTCAAAGAAAATAACAAATAATTATGTAGCATGCAACGATTGTCAATACACAAAGATATCCAATGCCTAATCGTAAATAAGGGGAAATCAAAGTCACACACATAGGGGCTTAGGACAGGTTTGCTAGGTTGCCAGTTCTAGATGAGATGATTTGGTAAACACCATTCGGGCTTCCGTTGCCAGTGATTCAAATTACAGATAACGTTCCTGAATGATTTTAAATTGCAATAGTCCATATGTATGGAAATTATTTATTATTAAAAGCAGGAGCACATCGCCATATTGCTATCGTCTGAAAACTGCAATAGCACACAATGTAACTGATATTAGCCCAAACATCCCGATGCTAACAAAATATCTACAAATGACTCACTTGGGGTTACACATGGCAACATTGCATCCCCTACCACAAAACATTAGCAGGACCCTCCTAACAAAAAGAGTGTTGAGATTTGGAGAGACTTTCCTGGGTAAACACACCTAACAACAAGGATTATTCTTACAACATTCTAAATCCAAAAACAATAACACGTGTTTTCAAAAGAGCCACTAAATGCCAAGCGCAGCAACACCGTACCTGCCAAATTTCTCCTCGCGACTCGAGTGAGGACGCCCGAAATCCTCGCAAAGAAACAAAGCAGGCGTCTGTGTCGGTGGCCCCTCATGCCTGCAGCTGGCGCCCTGTGCCTGTCTAGTAGGGACCACTGGCACACGGCCTACCCCGAGGGCAGCAATGTGGCACCCGTGCGCTACATCCACAGCTGCGCTATTCAATATCTGCCACTGCAGCTCAGGCCATCATCCCGAGGCAAACGCATCCATTTTGTCTTATACCACGGTTTTGCGATCACCAAATTTGTGTCTTGTTTGCACAATCTATGTCAACGACTGAAGTCATATAAAATGTGCGAGCACAGCCGCGTGCAGAATATATATTTGCAGGAGGAGCAGACGAATCGAGACCGCGTGTGCGCACAGATGCAGTCTTGCTATTAAACAGTATTTATGGTGTTGCTTAACAACATCTTTGGTGTAGAAATCGTACCACATGTTGGGCAAATGTGTACATCCATGCGCAGCAGCAGAAATGTGATGACCAGGCCTTGGCAAAGAGAGAGAGGGACTCCCCCTCCCTCATGAGAGCATCTCTGCCAACATTCCAGCATTCAAACATATTCCGACCAACGCATTGCGTGCAATTCCACAGCAGCAAGACACAACATGCGGAAAACATTGAAAATGCCGTGTTGTATGTGTAACCCAATGGGAATTTGAAACGTGTGATCTAAAATATTAAAGTTATCACGCAGATTCCCAAGAGGGCACTGCGACGCTACACCTCATGATAGCCAATTTTCTGTGCAACATCGCATGGGAATTTAAGTTATGTGAATCGAAAACATACGCGAGGGTTTACTTTTTTTACTTACTGTATAAAGCATAAGTTGGTCATATACCATAATACCAGAGTGTAGCTGATAAATATACGTACTGTAGTCATACATTGATTAATTGCATACATTATATAGCACTAAATCAATTTCTTCACCCAGCAGTGGACTGACAAAGGCCTCTAATAATTGTATATTGCTTTTTTAAATGATATTTCCACGTAACATAACCGTTTCATATATTTAAACACTTAAAATTGAAATTTGCATACCACTGAGCACAACCTCAAATCTTAATTACGACTCATAACATAACATTTTCCACAGGACATAAAAACAATGCCATGACTCGCATGATACAAGAGAATATGCCCAGATTATAAATTATAATGATTAATCTGCCCAACAGACCACAACATACACGCTACAGTACTCAGAAACACACAACTCTTGGCCTGCTGCTGGAATGTTGCTGAATATTAAAAAAATTTCTCATACAACATCATGAAAAACTACACTGAGAGCCGGAATATTATCCATAATATAGTAGCACAGTTCATAGCCGGACCTGTTTCCAATATATTCCAATTAGTGTACAAGTCACATTGTGTCCCTACTGTTGGTGCTATGTAAAGCGCTGGTATTTGCCACCATAGCCTGCTAACAAGTACTGCACAAAAAATATCTCCTGTCCCACTCCCTGCCCTGGTGGCTGTAATTTGAATACACGTTCATCTAATATCGTTGTGCAGTTATATGTCTTCTACTGTAGCATGTGTGATTTTGCAGTGTGTTGTGTGCATTACACTGAATAAGTCTAAATGTACTATAATGTGGGAAACACCCTCAAAAAGCAGACATCTACCCCAGAAATGGAAAGCTCTGAAATCAGCTCGTACACAGGTGCTCCGTGGATTGTTGCATTGCAAGAAAATTAGATGGTGACAGCTTGGAGAGGCCTCCATCCAGCAGTGGATTGAATTATGGTTGATAATGATGATGAACATTAATCTAAGCTTTCCCGCCCGTTTACTTAAAAGACTCGTCTGAGCTGTATCGCCACTAGGTGGCACCACATTACAATTTACTCCAATTCTGGCAATGCGTTCGGGAGATAAATGAAAATGTCGCGAGGTCTGCTAGCCACAAGAGGGCTTCGGGAGAGAGTTGGTGTAGCTTTGTTATTCCTTCATTGCAGGAACGAAGACTACAGTGGTTTACTATATGTTTTACTGTATTTACCGGGTAAGGTTGCCCCTTTGGGTTCATTGCCGACGCAACTCAACAACATAAGCAAGATAAGCGGGCTTCCTCACTGCTTCGAACGTGAACCAACGCTAACGGAGGGCGCAGTAACGAGGAAATGCCCTCGCGCCTAGGAACGGAAACGCACCATCCCTGCAAATCATTGTCAAAAACCTCGACTGCCGCTGGGGCATCCCAAATAAATACAATCACAGTTGGAATGTTTCCATGAAAGCAAACCGTCCTGGATTGTTTAAAACTATTTCTAAAGACCAGCATAAATGTTCCATTTCTCTATTAAATGTTCACCATTCATCTCCTCTGGTTAGTGATGTCAGACAAGCACTATGACACACTGGGTGTGGCAGGGCAAAGTGTCAAGCAAGTGGAGCAGAGGGAAAGCAAACTATTTTCCCTTGCAAAATAAACGCACGCAAAGTTGTAATGTTCGGGCCTTTAATAACCCTTGAACAAGATACAAATTGATGTCTTGTTTAGGGCAGTGTGTGAGTGGTAAAGGTCACAAGGCTATTACAATTTGTTTAACAAATTATGCAATGCAACAGTAAATCCACTCCACTTAGTGCAAGTGAAGGATAATTTATTCCATCAAGTGGTAATATTTCACTCTTAGGTTGTTTCCTTGTTACCGTTGTTATTGGAAATGAACAGAATAACTTGCGCTACCTGCGGCAATGTCAAGGTTGCTGTCCTGGCTTCCATGGCTGCCACCAAAATCCAGCAGCTCATCTTCCCTCCCAAGATCTATCAAGTCGTGAGTCTGCAGCTGGGCTGAGGAATAGGATACAAAAGCAGCAAAGAGAAAGAGCAAATATCAAGCTGAGACATTTAAACAGCGCAGTCTCTGGTATCCCCGTGATGGTCGCGAATATTATTTAAGCATTTACATTTCTGTAATTAAATGTTAAACCGGTGCAAACTCTGTGATTTGCCTATTAAGTCAGTGTGAATGTTCCCAAAAGACTTGACATGGGGTAAATTTGCACTGAACAATGCTAATGTGTTAATGTCAATCCATTCTAGCCAGATTCATGACAATGCGATAATTCACTAGCGTACTGGGCGTACGTGGCCGGGTGGAAACACGTTTGCCACTCGTTCCAGAGGCTCACAGTTCAAGCCCGGCGGCCACCCTGGTAACTATTGTGGGTGCATTAACTTTTAACAGGATCCCATTAATTTATTCGAAAAGAGCTGACCATTTGTGCCTTCGGCATCATAGTACAAATTTGAGTAATTTCAAAACGACTCGCAAACTACTTCACTGGTTTAAGCCATGTAGAAACATCACTCCTACTTGCAGACTATTTTCACATCCTTGAAAACCTAGTGCCTTCGTGGTAGTCTTCCACCATAAGGATTGTGCAAACGTAAACTGTACGGCACTCACCCGATGCCGGTCTTGTGATTGCACCTGTTGACAACGGACCACCTGGTTGCAATCTCTGCCTGACATGAGCCAGATCTGCAGACAGATCCCCACTGGAGTGGTTACGGCGATAGGGAGGCACCGGAGCAGACACGGGAGCTCCATCCCATGCCCTGTCGCCACACACCGAGGCTGCTCTGCTCAGAATAGTGCCCGTTTCCAGGGTGGTTCCCGCCTGTCCAGGAGGCACGGGCGCGGGTCTCGTGGGCATCAGCTTTCCACCACCTTCTCTGTCCTCGGCGCTCTGCCAGACTGTCATGTTGGCACGAAGGGGTGGCGGTACTTTCAGAGGGGCAGACGCCCGTCGGTTGGTAGGCGGGGGCGGTGGCGTGCGGTGCGCTCGTGGTGGTGGCTGGGGCTGCTGAGTAACGTCGGGGCGAGGAGGAATGGGAGGGCGGCTCTGTCCTTGTTCGTTATTCAGCTGCTGCTGCAGGGGACCTTGTAGGTCATGCGCTTCCAAGCTCACATCTGATCTCTTCGTTGAGAGACTCTGATTAAATTTCACTACTTGCTCAGTTAACTTGCTCTCGAGATCTGTGGAGGTGCAGCCAGACAATCCAACACCACTCTTATGATTCAGCGAATCTGGCTTTGGTTTACTGTTTGAGGACAAGCCACCATTATGCACAGTACATTCAGTGCTGCTGCTTGAAATTTCGTTGACGTGAAAAGCTTCAAAACTCTCGCTTCTGTCTTTGGCATGTCTCTTTTGTGTCGCCACCCACTGCAACAGGTCTTGGTGTACAGATTCTCTGTTATGAGACCTTTTGGATGTCTCTTGCTCTGACCTGATTGGGACGGTATAGTCGATCTTCACTGATTTCCCAACATCTGTATCCTTGTTCTCTCCTACCTCAGGGTGCACATCGTAGCGTCGGACTGGGGAAGATGGAAAGCGCAATCCTGTGTTTTCTTTTGGTGTCTCAGACGTGCTGGACATACTGAAAGATGATTCCAAAACATCTGGCTGTTGGCTAACAACAGAGATCTCAATATTTGAAGAGTTACACGATAAATCTTCATTATTTTCAAGCAAATTACTTGGCAATTCCTTTTGGTATACATCAAAACTCTTTGATTGTTTAAAGCTCGTATTTTCTTTTTTACTACGGTTTAAATTGGGATCACTCTCCATTGTCTGTACGAGGTCAGAAACAGGTGACCCTTTAGCTTCCAGTTTTACAAACCGAATTGGGAAAATGCCTCTGCAGTCCCGAACTTCACCTTCCAGCCAGTCATCTTCCAGTTCCTGAATGATTGTTATTCGTTCACCCTTTCTGAAGTCCAACTCACCAGCCTCGATGGCTTTAAAATCATAAAGTGCAACAGCATACATTTCATTTGCATCAACGTTGTGTTGGCTGTGAGGTCCATATTCACTTCCACATAAAGTGCTTTGGTCAGAATCCAAGATCTCCTCATCTTGACAATGGTCTTTCACATTCATCTTCTTCAGTGGTTTGAGGAGTTCAACAAAGCCTTCTGGGAACGTGCCACGTCTACCATCAATCTCCCCATCATACCAACCCTCCTCCGGGATGCCGGTTATCGTAATGATGTCGCCTTCCCGAAAGTCGAGCTCGCCCTCCATCTGTGCCGCCAGCCCCATTATAGCCCGCGCTCGGCCAAGTGCATTCGCAGGCAACACCAAGTCGGCGTCACTGTCGGCGCCCGGGTAACCACCCCGACTTGGCTTAGCCGGCAACCTGAGCTCCGTGACGCATGATGCGGCGATGAGGCCACGGTGGTTCTCCCGGCGTCCTCGGAACCAGTTTGTGTCAAGTGTTTCCTCGATAACCAGCACATCTCCTGCAACAAGGCGCATTCCATCGTTAACAGGGTCACTGCAGGAACCATCTTTCATTGATCAGAGCTTTGCCACCGGTATTGTGTTATTGCTAATGATGTGTCAGGTGCTGTGCAGCCAAGAAAGCTCACCCCTCTTGATCTCCAGGCTGTCAGCTGTTAAAGGGTTGAAGCTTTCTGTGCAAACGTAAAGCCTCTCTTTTGCTTGCAGCTTTGGGATGGGAACGGGCTCCACAAAGCTGGATGGGAATTGCCCTGTAGCAAAGCAAAGTGGATAACAACAAGAGCATAATGCGTGCAGGCATGCGTACATAACCACCCATGTTATTGTACGTTAATTAAATATATAACACTAGATGCACAGTATAATTATAATTGTTTTATCACTGGGTTTATGAATAGGTTAATATTCTTTGGTACTGCGTGTTGCAGTGATAAACAACATATGTTTTTTTTGTAACCGCAACAAATTTTATAAATTGCTGTCAATTAAAATGCGACAGTGTTGGCAGGGCTACAAAAGAACAAAGAAAACAACTCACCATGTTTGTTCATAACACCAACTTAAAAGGAAAAATATATCATCGGTGATGTTTTAAGCACTGACTTTATTTCAGAGCACATAGAGAGACCAGAGATATTTAAACTATAAAAATATTTTTTATTTACCAGGTAAGGCCCACTGAGCTATAAAGCTCTTTTTCAGAAACGACCTGGCCACATATAATATCTCTACGAAGTGGCTTATCATGTGGACATTTCTAGCAGCCAAATAATCTGAACGCATGTTTCTAAATGTGGTGGGAAAAATCAGAAGACCTGGAGAAAAATCCACGCAACCACGGGGGAATCTGCAAACTCCAAATATACAGGCCTCAGGGTCGGGATCGAACTCACGCCTCCTGTGTACCAGGTGAGGTAGTTAATGTCTCGCCACGGTGACGCCCTAAAGAGTGGATAAGAGTGGGAGACTGCACTATATACACCATAGGCCCTGATAAGAATAGCATTTAAAACAATTCTGGTGAAATGCATTAGATTAACAAAGTAAAATTATATGTTGCCGGCACATTGCATTCTGGGTAGCCCATAAGTTATTTATAATAGTTTCCTATATGTATGAATAGGTAACTATTCATATTCCAATCTAAAAACTGCTTATCAACAAACGTTGATTAAATAAAATTATCATCAGGCCCAATGGCAGTCTAACTCTTTTTCACTATCTCTCTGGCCTCTCTGTTTACGTGCTATGAAGAAGGGACATTTGCCCAAACATCATCTATTATATATTATATTTTAAGGCATCGTTATTGACGAATATTTTAAGTTTTTATGCCTTTGTATTTGCTTAAGATCAATTTAAATTGTGGCATTAACTTTACATAATTATTCATAAAAAAAATTGTATTGACTACATATCACCCCAAAGTCTGCTTTTACAAATTTTGGAAACAATGTCTGGAGTTCCATTTTCAGTTACAGGAAACGTGGACACGTACATGACACGCACGACATAGCTTATTATAAAAGCTGTCGCTGCAACTTTAAACAAAATGTCAGCTTCCTGTAGGAAAGCTCGGTCAGGTTTTCCAGTTACATGGGACAAAATGAACTCCCGAAATAGCCAAAAACAACACATTTTGCCAAATATCCATCCTCCTGGCTAACTTAAATCAGGTTAATGAACACTCACAGCGACACTTGAGGGCGGCGGAATAAAAACAAATCAATGCACTCTGTGGAGATGACTATTAAGATGGTGGTAATCAACTCAATATGCATTGGAGAGCATGCTGAATAGAATCTAAAGAGTCCTTCAGGCCACCTTAATTACACTTAAAATATCCAAAGTACAATGAGCTTCAGCCAAAAAGATAATACACGCACGGCTGTAAAGTGGTGCAATAAACATGCTGCTACGGGGATGAAGTGCATAGCATGCTCACCCCAGCCCAGCCTATCCCGTTGTCCCACGACCTCACCTGTGACCCCATCCTTCTTGCCCAATAGCCAGAACTCGTCGAGTGTGTCCAACAGCAGCACCACATCTCCCACGAACAGTGTCAGCTCCTCCGGCACACTGGGCCGGAATTCGAACATCGCGCGTAGCAGGCTGCCCGCCTCCATATCCGCCTATGATCGTGCAAACACAACACATGTACGTGGAGGTTAGCAGTGCAAACATGTGCAATGCATGATCAAAAGCAAAAGTAAACTTTTTTTAAATTGGTTAAATGTCATTTTAATCAAAGAGAGGTCAACCAAAATTTGTTTTCATGGTATGCATTCACAACTGCCATTGCTGTAGACATTGGGCTTCTACCAGCTGCCCAACTTGAATGCTAAGTTTGCTTCACCCAATGTTACTACCATATGTCCATCATTTGATTGCCACACTGAATAGACG